TCGTCGCATCCTTGGAATGCCCTCCCATCATAGGTACTAAATATCTCCAACATATTTCTTTTTCAATAACCCCTTGACGATACTCTGACGCACTTACACTACGTCACATAGCCCATGATTGTCCAATGCTGAGATTAATGCACAACAAACAGTGGACGGCGTCATAAACCTCCTAAACTCCATGTAGAAATACTGGCACATGAATTACTCTAAACCCCTTGGGGATTCACACAATTCACTCGCTTTTTACTGACACTGGGTTTTAGTTAACATTTATCACCCTAACTATCCAGTGGGACATTCCAAGCACTCGCCTGTATACCCGTCATAAACCCTTGCTCCATTGCTTCAAGCACCTACTTCAAAACATTTGCAAATGGCAATTAATTAACAAAGCGCTTGGCATCACCACGAGCAGCAATAGTCGCATCTACTGGAAAGCGATCAATCAAGCCACAAATATTAATTGCTATCCATCACGACACAAACTTCTATTCGAACCTCCAGAGGAATAAATATCCACTGGACCGAGATGGGTCCGTCATTTGGTAACCTATCTATGTTCTAGCTACCACACCTCTAATATTCCGCGTTTAAGCGTAATTACCTTCCAACTTGCAGAGGTGAATATCGATCCGTTGACTAAGTAACCATATTCGATTCGAACGAACACTGACGTATAGTCGTAAGTTGAGGCGTCCAATGAGTGCGCGTTGCTTCCGTAAACGAAAAGGATATATCACAGTGCTTTCACAAATGGACTAAGTTGTATGACTTTTATTTCATCCGCACATCTGTCCATCTGCTTTAATAAATGTCATTATTTTCACAAGGAAATTCATGCTTAAGTTCACCTAGATTTGACAAACTATGCCTTAGTCAGCCGTCCATCAGTAACAGCATGGTGCATTGAGGAAATCTATTTCATCGTTATTCCCCTTTTTTAATGCCAGTTCTGAAACTGGGTTCATTCAGCAAGGGCGATCTGTAGGTGTCCGTGTCTTTTAGCCATCGAAGGTGTGCTCAACGGCTATTTTAGAAAGTTGGATTGATACGCAATTTTCCGAAGAAATTGCTCAAAACGGCACAATTAATCTGTTAACCACGAACAGTTCCGGTGATTTCAGAAACTGTTCGACAATACTTGTAGCACTTATCAATGTTTACCATGCGCGTCTTACAGTGCAATCACATAACGATCTTCTGGATACTAATAAACCCCAGTCAAGTAAACCGAAAATTACAGGACCATAACTACCAGGCCAACAAGAACGAACCGCTAACTGCTTCATAATATATTCATATGGCATTAACGAAATAGGCGCTTATAATATCTGGCAGCTATGCAATGATCCTACAACCTGATTCGTTAAAATGCCATTCGCTTAAAAACAATATGGCTCTTCATTAATATATTTTAACAGCGTGCGATTGCCTGCATTTGATAGACAATATTGTATTCAAGAGCCGCAATAAGTTTGCGTTTATGTGAACGTTTTTGTGTATAAGTTCTACTATCTTTTTGGAAAATATGTTGTTTCGGAAATTTCTGTGCACTGAATCTCCATGATTTATGCCTACTGACTTTGCCTGCATTTGTATTGTGATAGGATTTTGTAAGCTAGATGGCCGAAGAACCTCAACGTGGTGCAAGCTAAGTGGTTCGTGTTAACCCCTTTCCAGCGAGTAGTTCGGCGGCCGAGTTCCAGAAAAGAGTGGGTTTCCGTCTGTCAAGCCTTCTCCCTATGAAGAGCCACAAAGGTCAGTTTAACGACACTACGACATGGCGGATGTTACTTGCCACTAAATTAAGTCACTACATCTTCCCCTTCCGGATGATCTTCACTTCACCAACGTCATCCAGCTCGAAGAGTTCCTTTGGTCCCTTCATATGATGGCGAACACAGCAAACTAACGCACAAATTCAGTCGCATTTCAAAAGTTCACTCACCAATCCCAGTAATACTACACTTACATATGCACGGACAAGCAAATCCCGTGCGCTACCGCTTACCTTGCTATATTTTTATACAGCTCACGAAAATGCCTGTTTATATTATACTGATCATGTCTTTGCAGGTATGTCCCGCACTGCCGGGAATAAAGCATTAATTAATTAATTAATTTAGGAATTAACATGGCGAAGCAGGCTGCTAGCTTACCGCAAACGAACAGATCAGCTGATTGGACGCCTATGAATATTTTGCCTGCGCGCTGATTGGCCTTATTTAGCTACACTGAACCGTGTTTGTTTAACTAAACCAAAGGAAAAATCTCATGAATACAGAATGCGTTAGGTGTGAAACTATGATGTTATCAGAACTGAGAACTGAGAACTGGTGCGAAGCAGCGAGTAGAGGTTGCTCTGTGTAGCTGCATCATTCATCGTTTTCGGACATGAACTTTTTATTTATCGTTTCGCTCTCTGTACTTTGCCTCTGCAAATTGTTGGTCTAGTAGCATCTTGAATTTAGACACCGTGTTCGCTTCTACTATATGCTGAGGCAGGTCGTTCCAGACATTCACCACTCTGCGTTCGAAACAGAGTTGATGGGCGACCCGCTTCAAATCCGGGACGATAAGTTTATACCGGTGTCCTCGCGTGCAGCTTGGTGTGCGCAGATGAAGTAGTTGTCTCAACATGGGGTAATCACCCAGATGTAGTATCCGGTGCGTCATGATGAGGTCAACTCTCAGCCGACGATAAGATAGGGTGTATAACCCTAGTTTCTTACATCGGTCTTCGTATGGCATACCTCGTAAGTTGGGAATCAGCCTGGTGGCTACATGCTGCACCCGCTCAAGCTTTTCTACTTCGCCCCGGGTGATGGGACAGTATGCGGGAGTGCCGTACTCCAGCATTGGTCGTATTATCGAGACGAAGAGGCGAGTGGCAATCTCTTCGGACCAAGTGCTAAAGCTGCGCCTGAGAGCCCAAAGCATACGAAGGCTGTTTTGGTACAGCCTATTTGTGTTGTCAATGGACTTTAGGTCGCAGCGTGAGAGTACACCGAGGTCGCGCACGAAAGGAGCGGGATGCAACGGTTGACCAGCCACTGTGTACGTTCGGCCGTGATCATACTTACCCAACCTCATGAATTGCGACTTGGCAGGGTTGATCGGAAGATTAACCTCTGCAGACCATGTCGAGAGGCGGTCGAGATCCTGCTGAAGTAAATCGCAATCATTGAGTGTGCGGATTACTCTCCACACTTTCAAGTCATCTGCGAACAAAGCACAAGGTGATTGTAGTAGCTGAGGCACATCGTTTATATGGATTAGAAACAATATCGGGCCCAGTACAGTGCCTTGGGGCACGCCGCTGTTCGATGGATACCAGTCGGTTAGATGGCTGTCCACCTGGACTCTCCACTTCCGATCAATAAGGAAATTTCTGATCCATTTGTGCAGCGAACCACCAACAACGCACATCCTCAGTCTGTCAAGGAGCACTGCATGGTTAACCTTGTCAAAAGCCTTACTGAAGTCAATGTAAATGGCGTCAACCGATTCGCCTTTGTTCAGCGCTTGTAACCATTCGTGCCTCGTCAACAGTAGGTTGGTGATGCACGAACGACCTTTCATGAAACCATGCTGTGCGGGGGTTAACAGGTTTTTCGACTCGAGAAGTTGCAGAAGGCTCTTCTTCACGATCTTCTCGAGCGTCTTTGCCAAAACTGCCGTCAGGCAGATCGGCCGGTAGTTATCCACTTTGCTTGGGTTACCACCTTTCGGGATAGGCTTTACGACTGAGCATTTCCAGTCGTCCGGTAGAAGACCAGTGGATAGTGACCTGTTAAACAGTTCAGTTACAGAAGGTGCAATTATGGTCGATAATGACTTGAGGATTAGTGGGTGTATACCATCTGGCCCAGCAGGTTTCGTCCCGTCAAGATTTGCTAGAATCTTGCGTACATCCTCAATATTGCAGTCCAGGCTGTTAAGTTCGGCTGGAGCGGTGCTCGTCGAACTCATTACAGACACCTGGTCACTTGCGAATACAGAGGCGAAGTGCGTTGCCAATGCTGACGCACGATCTGTACTCGAGGTTAGAGGCTGTCCTTCTGAGCCTTCTAACACTGGGATATTAGCTATAGGTCTTAGGCGCCGCTTCACATATGCGAAGATCCTCTTGGGAGCAGTTTTTGCGGCAGTTGCAAGCTCCTCTTCGAAGCTTCTGCGTTTGCTCATTTTCGCGTTGTTGCAGCGATTTCGTTGTACCTTGTAGGCACTGTAGTCCTCATCAGAGCCAGATAACACGAATTTGTTCCATAGTCTACGTCGCCGTCGGGCCATTTTGTTGTACTCTTTGTCAAACCAATGTGGTTTGACTGGCCCAACTTTCCGAAATTTGAGGGGCACAAATCGGGCACACAACGATTTCACTCCCTCTTTAATGATAGCCCAACAGGTTTCAATAGATGAACGCTGTGGTAAAGACCAGTCTATCTGGCTCGCTGCTCGAAGGAGGCCATTAAAGTCTGCCTTCCATTAGTTGAAGTTTGACTCTAGTGGCAGAGGATTTGGTAACGGTAGTTCTAAACTGCCTATGATCACTGAGTGGTCACTCGCTCCCAGAGGCTCTAAGACTTTAATGTTATGTACACGCTGCTCACAGCTAGTCAACAGCAGGTCTAAGCATGATGGAGTCGCGCGCGCTGTAATGTGTGTCGGTTGGTTGATGTGCTATGTGGCCGCGGTTTCAAATATCAACTCCGTAAACTTCCTCTCGACTTCACAGTGGCCGGGGAGAAGTTCAGCTTCAGGCCATTGTATTCGGGGCAAGTTGAAATCGCCCATGAGTAGGAACATCGGACGACTCATGTGGTTGCGGACATGCGGCAACCAGTCCAAACTGCGGCTCAGTGGGCTGCGATATACCACGCCCACGTGCAACTCGCAGCGTCTGAGGCGTATCGAACACCATAACTGCTCACATAGACCATCAGCGCTTTGATAGGCGCTCACTAGTCTCCCACACAAGGAAGAATTTATGTAAAGTAGAACGCCACCGCGATCATTTGATGGTCTATCGCAGCGGAAGCATGAGTAGCCGGTGATTTCCACTTCTTGGGCGTTTACGTCGGAGTTTAACCATGTCTCAGCAAGGCCTAATACGTCCGGTCGCTGAGAGCTTACGAAGTCGTACAGCACATCACGCTTGTTCATCAAACTGCATACATTAGTAAAGGCTACGCGCAGACCGCGGTAGGAGCCGCTGGGCGCGCCTGAAGTATTAGCAACCTGTTGATCCGGATTCGTGGAGGAACCCGGGCAACTACTCGAAAATTTACAATACGGAGGTTTGTTTCTCCATCCTCCGTGCGCCGCTTTAATTCAATCATGGCAGACTTGAGTTTCTCTCTGTCTGCCGGTTCTAAGTCAGCGCGTACGTGGATCTTCAGACCCTTCAGCCTATTAAGGCGAGACAATAGTAACTTGGTACTTGCTTCTTCGGCAAATGTCACCCTCATGGGCCGACTTTTGCCCTCCATTCTCTTTCCTAGACGGGCGATCTGCTGAACTTTGAGCCCGTCCTCATTTACATCGAGTAGTTTGTCAATCAATGATTGCAAATATTCGACGTCATGTGCATAACGCACCTGAGGATTAGAATCACCTGACTCAGGTGCGTAAAATATCATGAGGCTACGGCGCCTCAGGTCATTAGATATTGGTCTTGGTTTCTTCGATGTTTGTACTCTCCAATCGTTATCCTCAATTTGTTTATCGCACATTGGAACTTTACTGTCAGCTGAACAAATAGTAGGTCTTGAGGGAGAGTCTGATGGAACTTTAGTACCTTGTTTCCGCGATGGATGCGATGAGGTACTAGGCGTTGGCTGCTTCACTGACTGTGGTGAAGCACAAGGCAAGCTGGGCATTCTAGAGCACTTCGTTGTGTTGATCCGCTTGTTAGACGTGTCCGTTTTATTCTGCACAAGATTAGCTTGGCATTGCTTACAAACGGTCTTCAAAAATTCGCTCTTAATGCCCTGAATTATACGAAATTGGTCTACAGTCAGACCAACGCACGAAATATGAAGCCTTGCGCTGCAGAGACTGCATGAAATCGCATTAGCTCTATGTCCGACGATCTTGCAGCAAATTCCACAAGGAGACTGCTTCGTCATTTTAAAAATAACTACGATCGATACGAGCAAATGGGTGTAATTAAGAGATACAGAAGTTATGCTGAATTATTACAGATAGTTACGAAGTATAACGCTAAATGACTAGCTAGAATTAATTATGTGAACTAGAGGACGACACTGTTACAATAAAAAAATCAACGAGATAATATTGGCCTAACAGGAGAAGGGCACGCTACCACTAAGATCGAAAAATCGCTAGGAGGACAAAAAAACGAGAAAATTACGGCTAATATATATCTAAATATATCACCGGAAAACGCAGAATCAAATATTATATCGAACTATATAACTCACGACAAGATATAACAATATATGATACAATAATAATGAAAAAACTGGCCTGAGAGCGGAGCGAACGTATTTTCAAACCGAAGGCTGTGGCCTTCGGAATAAGAACACCAGAATTGGAATTCGAATTTCACGGGTGTGTATTCTACATCAAAAAAGTTGAAAAGAATAACAATAAACAATCACTGAATATTGTTTGTACAATTATCACATCCTCCGCAGCTTTAATGCAACTCCAGGTTTCTGTAATTTAGCTGTGGTTTCTGTTTCAATCTGGCAGATCTTCTTGGAGGCTGATTTTGCTCAGAATACTCATGAGAATCTGAAACTGAATTGACATTAGTATTTTCAGTGCACACTGAATCGAATGACAACTGACCGGAATCCTTGTATCGTATCTGATCAACATGCCGTCTGTGTACAGAACAATCATCGAGATCCAAAATTCTAACCATGCGGTTTCCAATGTTGTTAACAATGATACCAGATGAGGGACGTAAATCATTGCCTCTGAAATAAGATACTTCAGCAGTCCCCAAGCCAAGCATGTTTGACCTTAATGATCTGGATTTACAAAGTTTTGCAGGTGTATGTCCAGTAGAGGAATGCACGCGATTACGGTATTGAAGAAGGAAGTTATCAACACAACGATCAAGTTCATCAAAAGAAGTAGGAGCACAGGAGGTAATAGAACGTTTTAAGGTGGCAACAAAGTTTCCCGCTAGGCCATTCGAACATGGATGTCGTGGAGCGGTAAAAAGGTGGCGCCACTCACGGCTCTGTAGCCAATTAGTAACCTCTGAAGCCGAAAAGTGCGAACCATTGTCACTTACCACAGCTAATGGAACTCCTTCTCTACTAAACACTTTTCTCAAGGCACGGACAGTAAAAGCAGAATTTGGTTTATCAGTCAGGAATACCTCCGGCCACTTTGAATAAGAATCCACCACCACAAGAGCATGGCACTTCTGCAGAAATGGTCCACAATAATCCATATGTACCCTTTGCCAGGGCTCGCATGTTATTGGCCATGGTGTCCAGTTTGACGGTTGCCGCAAAATTTTGTGTTTACATTTCGGGCAATCAGAAGCAATTCGTCGAATATCTGCGTTTAATTCAGGCCACCAGCACAAGCATCGAGCTAAAGACTTCCTCTTTTCAACACCAAGATGACCGGAATGTAAATCCGTTAGAATAGCTGATCTCAAAGTCGGCGGGATAACAATTCGGTCATTTACACGTAGTAATCCATCAGGTGTAACACACAATTCATCACGACGCACATAAAATTGTGGGAACTTCCGTTTGAGAGAAACCGACCAACCACGTTTGACAGCAGAAATCAATGACCCATAATACCTTCTAGTATCATTGATAAGGGCAGAACGAGAGATTGGAAGCGGCTGGGTGAGTAAACAACTCATTTCAGAATCGGTTTCAAATATCGTTGCAGTACGTGATTAGTAGTCGACTTGAGGAATGAGCTTCGCACTTCTGTGCTCGACCACATAGTTATACGCACTAAGGGCAACACTCCACCTTTGGACCATGGCTGCTGAAGACTTAGCTGAAGAACTGGAAGGATTGTAAATGAACTTCAGAGCTTCATGATCAGTCACAATGGTAAAGCTGAGGCCAAACAAGTATTTGTGAAGTCTGGTGACTGCCCAGTATACAGCCAAAGCTTCTCGATGATGCTGAGCATATCCTTTTTCAGCATTGCTTAGTCGACGGGAAATACACAGAACGGGGTGTCCATTCTGCTCCAACACAGCCCCAATACCAGTGAATGTAGCGTCTGTGAAAAGCATAGTAGGTAATTTAGGAGAAAAGGTGTGAAGAACACAACCAGATGCAAGAATTTTTAAAAGCTTCCGAAGGACATGTTCATGTCTGTCTAAGCAAACAAAACTCTTGTCATTCAACAAGGTGAATAAAGGATCAGCAATGGATGCAAAACCAGGAATGAATTTGGAATAGTACTGTAAAGCGCCCATCAGTGATCGAAGCTCATGAACCTTGGTGGGGGACTTCACATCAACCAATGGTTTTATCCGATCAGGACCTGGTTTGAATCCTTCAGAGGTAACCTGATAACCAAGACAACTGATTTCATGGACACCAATTAAGCACTTCTTAGGATTGATATTCACATTAGCATCCTTGAAGCGAGTCAAAAGTGCCAGTAATCGGTAGTCATGTGTCGGTATGTTAATAGCATGTACAAAAATATCCTCTTGATAAACCTCAACACCCTTCATATCTTTCACAATGGAGTTCATCACATCTTGGAATATGGCTGGCGACACATTAAGACCAAAGGGAAGAAATCTATAGCGATACAACCCAAAAGGTGTATTGATTGTAGTCAGTTCACTAGACTTATCAGTCAGTGGCATCTGCAGATGTGCATCTTTTAAGTCTAGCCTCGAGAAAATCTTGGATCCGTGTAGACGCGAGAGAATAGAATCAGGTTCTTCCGTGACACAACTACGCTGCAGCAGCTTCGTATTAAGAGTGACACGGTAATCACCACAAACTCTCGGTGTCTGTCCATCCGGCTTTAACGGTGTGACAATAGGTGTGGCCTATCGTGAACTTTGTACTGGGACGAGAATTCCTGATTCACAAAGAGACATAAGTACCTTTCGAACAGGTTCTCTAAGTCCAAATGGAAGTACACGTCGTTTACAGAAAACTGGATCACCGGCCACTTCCAACTTAACAGGCGGAATTCTCATTTCACCAGAGGTAACTGAACAATCGTGTAATAAATCACGAATTTGGGTGTCTGTATCAGTATGTGACAGAAAATTGACACATATTTTAAGTGCTTGCATAACTTTAAGACCGAGTATGGACGGGCCTTGACGAATGACAACAAATTTACACTCGACAGGTTTCAAATGCTTATCTAGCACTGGTAAGGTACAACATCCTATCACCGGAATGGTATGACCAGTAATACCTTTAATAGTGATGAGTGTAGAATCAAGCTGAGCGTCAGGGTACAGATGATTGAGACTCGTTTTAGAAATAAGAGACTCTACGCTACCGGTGTCAACAATGAAACGATGTGACATACCATTTCCGAAACGCAAAGTGTTGTATAAATGGCCACTCGTATTCACAGCCAATGTCAGCGAATGAAAATCGTCGGGCAAGTTCTCTGTGGAATCAACAACTTGTTTCACAACATTACAACGTCTGAACTGGCGACAAACACTACGAATATGTCCAACTTTCCCACAATGATGACATTTGGAATTCCGATGAGGGCAGGTATACCGTGAATGCAACTTTCCACAAGAGACACATTGTCCAATCTTTCTATCAGCTTGACAACACTTTAAACTCTCTGAATTTCTCGGTGCATGAGATAGACTAATTCCGTGTGGTTTGAAAGAGTTTATTTGCCACGGTTTTCTCTTCTCGGCATGAACTCGGCCACTGGCTGAGCCAAACAAGACTTGATGATCAACAGTCGTCCGGCTTCTTGTAATATCAGAAACAACCTGATGATGCAAACAGATGGATTTTACTTGATTGTAAGTCGGCGATGGAAGTGATAGGAGCTGACGATATAAATCGGGATTATTTATTCCAGCAATTAGGCGATCTCTGAGGCATTCGTCAAGTTTGTCTCCATATGCACAGGATGATGCTTGAGATTGAAGTTGGAGAATAAAATCACGAATAGACTGATTAGGTTGACGGATCAGCAAGTTGAATTTTACTCTTTCGGCAACCACGAAATCTTCCGGTAGTAAGTGAGATAAAAGGAGGTCCCGCAACTTGTCATATGATACTTTCGATGGCAGCTGTGGGTAAGCCAGATTTTTTCGAAGCGTATACGCCTCTCGTCCAATAACAGTTAAAAAGTGGGCAGATTTAAGATCTTCGCGAAGGTCATCTTTTGTGAGCCACCATAACTCGAACCTCTTCATTTATTCTTGTAACTCCCGGGGAGATGCATTTACGTTTAAGAATTCGATGGTTGTATTCATTTGGAAATAAACGCTGACTGCGACGCCAATTATGATGTTCTGAATCGGAAAATAATTGAACTCCACCCAAACTAGTCACGACTCGGAATAAGAGCACCAGAATTGGAATTCGAATTTCGCGGTGTGTATTCTACATCAAAAAAGGTGAAAAGAATAACAATAAACAAGCACTGAGTATTGTTTGTACAATTATCACAGCAACCGACCCAGTTATTTATATAATGAGTCTCACAAGCTTGTTATGCTATCAAGTTCGCAGAACCTACTTTGTCGAATAAATGCTTTGTCTCTGAAGGACCGAGTTTTGAGACATCGTGTCAAAGGAGAACAAGGCAAGATCACCCAATGATGCTCAGTTGCTGAGTGGAGCGCAGCAAGCAGTGCAGACACTTTCCCAGTAACAAGGAAGCACATAACTTGACCAGTAATAGGAGAATGTTATAAAGCCAGTGAAATGAATTTTGCATACTGGTGCGTCTGAATTAAAAACCGATGGCTTATCGTCTGGCGATGTTTCGACATACGATTGGAGATGAAGCACACCGCGTCCTGGAAATGATGCGGTACGAAAAGGAAGAGGACTCAGCTGATCTGGAAACAGTCATCCGAGAAGCCAGCAAGTTTTATGAGGTCCAGAATAGGAGGTGTGTCAAAGTTATCTCTTTTTACTCGAAACTGGCGCCCGAAGCAATCTATCGAGAACTAGGTAAAGGACCTGAAGATCCTGTTTCGCTCCAGTAAAGTTGAAATATTATGGCCTACATTCTCATTGGAGACGGAGTCATACATTGGATCAGTGATAAAGACATCGCCAAACGGCT